GATGTGGTCATACATGAACAGGAAGAGGTGAAAGATGTGGTCAAAGAAGAGCAAGAGGAGGTGAAGGAGAAAACTTTCGAGAAGCCCACGGGGTCCCGAGTGTCTTGGGGCGAGCACCAAACCCATGAATATGAGGTTCCGTCCCCTGCCTCGGAGAGCGGCTCGTTCTATCACGAGCAAAGTCAACGTGATGTTGATGAGAGCCTCGAGTACACGGGCTACTCGTACATCACGGACGTTGCTGCTGCTCCCGAGCCCGCTCCAGTTCCTTCACCCCCAATGACCCGTGAATCCTTCCGTACAACCGGCCACGGAATCGACCTGGAATTTGCAGCCACCGTTGCTGCCGCGACGGCAGCAGCGGGCTTCGACGCTTCCATTGTGACAGATGATCCGATTTATCATACGCGCATGTCCCCGCCTGGATCGGAAGCCGAAGTGCCTCTCACCATTCTTCGTCACGACGAGCCCCATGGGTTTGTCGAGGGTGAAGTTGAGACCTCCGAAACAGACTCTGAACTAAAGCTTCGTCAGCGCAGCGATAGGGAAACTGAGGTTGAGGTCGTGTCGGAGGCCAGACCGGAGGCTGATCATGTCATCGAGGGTAGTCCGCTATATGCAGAGCCCGAGTCCATAACCTTGCTAGACAGTGAGGGCAAGTCGCAGCCTCCCCTGGTTGCTCAGGAGGTGATTGAGAAACTCAACGGACACAAGAGCTCCGACCACTACGAGGAGGAGACCAGCAAGACGACTGCTAGTCGTGCATTTGAGCTTACCCAGCAATTCGAGCAAGGGCCCCCTCCGTCGGTGACTAGATCTCTCCCTGGAACCAAATCCGAACAGGACTCTCGCTTCAGCTCCCCGGATGAAGGCGATGATGTCTTTGCCATGCCGGGTGGGTTTGATGCGGAGCTCGCTGACAAGACGGACAAGACCGAGCGCATCTACGATGACTCCTTTGAGAAAGTTTCTGCGGTTTCCGCCCCCGTAGATGCTCGCACAGAGGAGTATCTGTCGAGATCCAGGAAGTCACAGTCCGTTGACGAGTTCCGGAGCAAGGTTAGCGAAGAAACCGCGCTTGTGGAAACAACCGAGGCTGCTGCCGACACGGAAGAAAAGAAGAAACGACGCAAGAGGCGCTCGAAACGTGAAAGTGATGACTTCTCATCGACCATGCCAGACGATGATGTGCGATCCACGGCTACCGGTGTGGATGACGATGAGAAGCAGCGCCCCTCGGAGTCGCGCAGACACCATCGGCACCGCTCGACGCGAGAGAGCGGCGACTTCGAAGACGCCGTCTCGGTAACCACGACCTCGTCATCTGTCCGGACCTCCACGACGGAAGAGAAGCGCCGCAGCAGAGAAGAAAAGGACAGGTCCTCCTCATCTGGCAGCGGCTTCTTCACCAGTCTGTTCGGCTCCCGGGTCTCCGCCCCCGTGGAGAGCAGCAGCAGCCGGCGGTCCGCCTCGGTGGATAAGCGGTCATCCCGGGATGTTCAGTCGGAAGTAGGCGTCTCGGAGGAGTCCCGGCGTCGTCGCAAGAAGCGTTCCTCCCACCACCGCAGCTCGAGCCGTGCAGGCGAGCAAGCGCTGGAGGACCGCGCCCGCTCGGACCCGGAGAGCGACCAGTCCAACCGCTCGGATGGGGAGGTACAGGTGGAGGAGTACAAGGCGCATAGACAGCGCAGGGAGGAAAAGAGGCGCCAGCGGTACGGGGATATTGTGGAATCCGGTAGAGGAGGATCAGCAGAGAAGGTATCTTGACAGCAATCCTTTCCTTGCGCCCGTTTTGTCTTTTTCTTTTCTTTTTCTTTTCTCTCTCTTCCTCCTTTAGTCACAGTCCACTTGTATTTTTTTGGTTTGTTCTCTTTTATCTTTTACAGTGAGAAATGTATTATGACTTGTACTAAGCTTGGTTTTTTCTTTTGGTATAGGACGATCGACAACAAGAACCTTTTTTAGCGGAAAGCCCCGAGATGCTAGCAGCGGTCGACGATGATGACCGGCATGGTAAGCAGGATGATGACGGTGTTTCGGGGCTCCCTCTTCTTCCTCCCTCTTCTTCTTCGACAGGTGATGATGATGTCCTGGTTGTAGCTGCTGCAGTGGCATCGGGCTTGGGGCTGGGATTGGCGTTCGAGCACCATCAGCAGGAAAAGCATGAGCACCAGGAAGAGGAGGAGGAGGAGGAGGAGGAGGAGGGGCAGCAGCAGCAGCAGGAGCAGAGTGCCTTGGTCGCCTCTCCCTCAGATACTAACACCACTGAAGATCTGGAGAGGGAAAGACCACGTCGGTTAACCCTCACGCGGATACACGAGTCTCCCACCGCGGTGCCGTTGAACTTTCGCCGGCCGCCAACCTCTCCTGGCGTTCACCGCACCTCGCCCTCAAGGGACGGCGGGCCCTCGAGCTCGCCGGTCCAGCCAGGTGATTCTCCGAGTCAGACCCGCAAACCGCGTCCTAGCTCGACGGAGTTCCGGTTTTCGCGAGAATTCCGCCCCCTCTGGCTCGTGGAGCGCCATGCTCCGGGCAAGACCGAGTCGCAGCTGGAGGAGGAGGTGGAGGCCTTGCCCCCGCTGCCGTCAAGCGCGACCACGTCCCGGTCCACGTCGGTGGAAGACCTGACGGAGCTGCAAGATGCGGGTGTTCACAGCTGGGAGAAGGTGGACTTGAGCCATTCCTTTGTTGATGATGAGCGGCTTGGCAGACCTGCTAATTTGGACCTTTCTTCGGCCCAGTCTCATGCCACTGCCGTCCAAAACGATGACGTCCTGAGTTCTCAGCAGGTAACGCCCACGGCGGCGACCTTCGCCGCAAGCCATGAGACTGTCTTTGCAGAGACAATAGCCGCAGCGCACGCAGCTCGTCTGAAGAAGGAGCACCTCAAGTATGAGTTCCATTCACCATCGGAGCTTCTTCAGGATCTGGCAATCCATACCCCGCTACCTGTCTCTCCTTTGGAAGATCTTCCTTCCGTCGTGGGGTCCGCCGTCGGGGCCACTGATTCCAGCGAGGAGGAGGAGGAGAAGAAGAAGAAGAAGGAGGAGGAGGGGGAAGAAAAAACCTTTGAACTGGCTGAACAGGGCGAGAGCGACGACCTCTTGAAAACCCCGAAACTCCGTCCAACGACGACGACGCCGCCAGACTTCTCCCAGTCTGTGTCCGAGTATGAGTTCGTCACGCCCACTCAAATGACACCGACTGCGTCGACATCAGACCTCGACTCCTTTAAGAGAGCCGGAGAGGATCATGCCGGGTTCATGGGCATAGTCGATGCTGCAATTGCCGCGGCTGCAGAATCCCAAGATAGGGAGTCCAACGCTGCGACTCCCCGCGCTGCCAGATCGCCTGCGCTGCACTCGAATGCGGATGTCGTCTCATATACATCCCACGACGATGTCTTTGCCACACCTGTCTCGGAATTCGCACTCTCAGCCGATGAAGGTGCCGTCGATGAAACTCCTAGACCGCAATTATCTCCCCCGCAAGACTCCTCGGCATTCGCATCTATTGTTGACGCTGCTATCGTGGCAGCAGCAGCATCTCGTGTCGATGAGTTGAGACATGAGAGAACCACGGAGGTCGCAATTGATCCTGAAGAATCCCGTGAGACAGGATTAGCCATTGTCGAAGGTGATTTTATTCCTGCGGGTGCTCCTGTCGACACTCTTGTCAATGCCCAGGAATCTGCCGTTGATTCTCTTGTGGATGCTTCTGTCGATGCTCAGGAGTCTGCTGTCAATTCTTTTGTTGACGCTCCTGTTGACACTCCTGTTGACACTTCTGTTGACACTCCTGTTGATCCTCTTGTCGACGCTCAGGAGTCTGCTGTCGATTCTCTTGTCGAAGTCGAGGCTCATAAGTCCGAAATGGATGTCATTGAGAAAGATGAAGCTGCTTTTGTGGATGCTTCTGAGCACGCTACTGAAGCTCCGGTTGCTCTAGAGGCCGAGAAGATTGAGCCAGAAACCGTCGAGGCTGAAAAGGAAACTCTTGCAGTGGATGCCTCAGAATCCGTTATTCCCGCAGTTACAGAAACCCAATCAACCGAGATAGAGGCTGTCGGCACTGAAAAGGAATCGGGAGATCAGGAGAGCAGTACGGAGGTCGCAATTGACACCCAAGAATACCGTCAGACAGGAGTGGCTATATTCGAACCAGAGCTTGCTCCTGTCAATGCTCCCGTGGATGCTCTTTTGGATACTCGAGAGTCTGTTGTCGAAGTCGAGGCTCATAAGTCTGAAATACATGCCATCGAGAAGGATGAGGCTGCTGCTGTGGAAGTGTCTGAGCACGCCCTCGAGTCTTCGGTTGCTTTGGAACCCGAGCAGACTCAGTTTGAGATCGTCGACGCCGAGGAAGCTCTTCCAATGGATACTTCAGAGTCTACTGTCGACCTTGCAGTTCCCGCAGCTGAGTCAAATGAGGCAGAGGTTGTCGAGACTGAGGAAGCTGTGCAAACGGAAGCCTCGGAGCCTATTTTTGACCTTTCAGCTTCAGTAGCCGAGTCAAAAGGGACAGAGACTGTAGACACTGAGGGAATTGTTCAAAGAGAAGCTTCAGAATCTGCCATTGATCTTGCAGTTCTGGCAGCCGAGTCAAAAGATGTCGAAGCTGTCGACGCCAAGGAAGCTGTTCAAGGGGAAGCCTCGGAGTCTGTTGTTGAACTTCCAGTTTCAGCAGCCGAGTCAACAGAGGCAGAGGTTGTCGATACTGGGAAAGAAACTCTTCTAATGGATGCCTCACAACCCATCGTTGATCCCGCAATTTCTACAGCCCCGTCAACTACTGAAGTAGAGGCTGTCGACAGCGTGGAAAGTTTCTCAGTGGAAGTCTCTGGATCTACTGTTGAGTCTGCAGGTCTAACAACCCAGTCAACTACTGAAGTAGAGGCTGTCAGCACCGAGAAGGAGGCTTTTTCATCAGATGCCTCGGAATCTATTGTCGACCTTACAGTTGCAGCAGCCGAGTCAATAGAGGCAGAGGTTGTCGACACTGGGAAGGAAGCTCTTCTAGTGGATGCATCAGAATCGATTGTTGAGCCCACAGTTCCAGCAGTCCATTCCACAGAGGTCGAGGCTATTGATGCTGAAAAAGAAACTCTTCTAGCGGATGCCTCGGAATCTAAGGCTGATCTTTCACTCCCTGCAGCCCAGTCAACTGAGGCGGAGGTTTTTGACAGTGAAAAGGAAGCTCTTCCAACGAAAGTTTCAGAATCCATCGACCTTGTAGCTCAAGAAATCTGGTCAACTGAGGCAGATGCTGTCGATGAGGGCAAAGACGATTATGTTTTTGTGGAAGCCCAGGAGCCTGCTACCGAGTCTTCTGCTGTCCAGGAGCATCAGGCGATGGAGTCTGGTACCTTTGAAAAAGAGGAGGATTCTGCTTTCATGGCCATCTCGGAGCCCCCTACTGATTCTGTTGCTGCCCAAGAAGAATCTCGTCAGACTGAAGCAGACGTCGTTGAAGCTGAGAAGATAGAGCTCGCTTTATTGGATGCCTCTGGGTCTCCTCCTGAAGCTTCTGTTGTCCAAGAACCCCAAACTGAGGCAGAACTTGCCATGGAAGAGGAGACGGCAATCGAAACTGTGGAAAATGATACCTATGCCCATGGGTCCCATACTGAAGTCTTGGATGTCCAAGAACTTCAGACCGAAGCAGACGCCGTTCGAGCCGACAAGGGAGATCTTGCTTTACTGGATACCCCTACGTCTCTTACCGGAGCTCCAGCTGTCCAAGAACTTCAGACTGAAGCGGACGCTGTTGAAGCTGACAAGACAGAGCTTGCTTTATCGAATACCCCTGGGTCCCATACCGAGGCTCCACCTGTCCAAGAACTTCAAACTGAGGCAGAAGTCGCCATGGAAGAGAAGGCAGCAATCGAGGCTGCAGATGTTGACATTCATGCCTCTGGGTACCTTACTGAAGCCCCGACTGTTCAAGAACTTCAGACCGAAGCTAGTGTCGCTGAGGAAGAGAAGACGGCAATCGAAGGTATGGACAGTGAAGCTTTACGGCTTATGCCCGACGATGGTCCAGAAGCCACGGTCCTTGAGACAGCAAACGAGCTTGCACAAGAGCCTCCGACCGATGTCTCTTCTCCAGTTCCTTCCTTGTCTAAAAAGAAGAAAAAGAAGAAGAAGAAGGAACAGAGTATTGACTCAAGTGTTTCACAGTCTGGCTCTTCGGGAGAGGCGCTCACTACGGAGCATGTTGGCGCTAATACCGAAGTCGTATCACTGGTTTCTGAAACAGCCATCACTGAACAAGCGAATAAAGTTGCTCTCGAATCAGAGCCACTGACAACCTTTGAGCCAACTGTTACTGGACAGAGTGATATGATAACTACTGTTGAACCACAGATGGTGCCGGAGCCAACCATCACTGAACAGGCGGATACGACTGCCATCGAAGCCGAACCCCTGGCAACTTCCGAATCAACAAATGCTGAACAAAGTGATGTGATAACTACTGTTGAAGAACAGACGGTGCCTGAACCAGCCATAACCGAACAAGCGGATACGACTGCTGTCGAAGGAGCCGGCGAGGCACAGCCTGATCCAGATTTGACCATTGCCGAACCGATTTCTACAGCTGCTTCCGAGGAAGAACCGCCAATTGTTTTCGAAGAACGGGAAACGACTGAGGCTGCAGTAGAAGAAGCTACTGTTCTTCCCTCTGCTACAGAGCCAGTTTCCGAATCCTCCGAAGTGAGCAAAGAGGCAGAACTGCAAACAACTTCAACACCCGTCGTTGAGGTAGAAGAAGGGTCAGCACCTGCAGCCTCTAAAAAAGCCAAGCGTGACAAGAAGAAGAAAAACCGCAAGAATAAGGGGCCAGAAGATCTGACAGAGGAAGCCGGCGAGGCGTCGCTTTTGCAAGAACCTACCGAAGATAACATCCAGACGCAAAGTCCTGAATTGCCAGAAGCATCAGCGCAGCTTGAGAGCAAGATCACTGAGGTCAACCAGGAGACAGCTTTCTCTGCAGAAGAACAAAATGTAGCAGCTACTTTCGACGAGAGTATTCAAGCACCTACTGAAGCGATTCCCGAGAAAGAACCCCTTTCAACTTCCACAAACAAGCAGGATGCGGCAGAAGTTTCGGCTCAAGAGGGCCAAAGTATGGACGCTCGGCCTGTGGATCAGTCAGATACACTGGCTCAAGGACTAGTTGATTCGAATGAAACTAGTACACAACTTCCCGAAGTCAATCCTGCGGAGGCCACAGAAGATATCACAGAGACGAAGGATCTCAGTACGGTGCTCGAAGTCACGGAATCTCAGGACGGGATGAGAGAAGAGGCCCAGGAATTGGAAGACAGCGCTCCTGCCCCCGAGCCTTCTC